AACTGCAGTATCAAAGTAGTGAGAAATCAAGACATATCAATTCAGGGTCTAGACTTGTGGAACATCAGCTACGACGGTACATTAAAAATCGAAATGCCAGATGAATCGTACTTAATTCGTTATGCGGACAACATTGAAGCAGTAATTACAACCCGAGGTATAGAAGAAGCGCAAAGAAAGCTTAATCAGATCATGATGTGGACGCAAGCACGGCTCGATTTACACAACCTCCACTTCACTACGGAAATACTTAGATACTATATACGGATATACTAAGAACACAAGAAACAGCTACCTAGACGCAAGACTGGACCCCAGACTAACCTTCTGGGTACAAATCAAGCACACCGCAGGAAAGGCAGCGAAAATCACCTCCCAAACTAGCAGACTAATGGCCAACATGTGAGGCCTCAGCCAAGGAAAGAGAAAGCTTCAAATGTCGACGACAATCAGCGTGCTCTTATACGGTGAAGCCAGGTTTATCTCCACCTACTCTTTCCAACGAAGTCTAGGTCTTCCTTTCCTCTGCTTCCCCCACGAGCACTGGGTCGAATTCTTTCAGAGCTGGAGTGTTTTTCATCGTGCCATCGACTACGCTATATGCTATTACTTTCTGACGCAAACTCGTAACGGCGACTCATCAGATGTTGTCATCGTCCGTGACTCTGCACCACATAGCAGGACGGGGATGATGAGTGACTTGTAGACTTTAATAAGAGAATACTTTTATTCTAAATTAGTAGCAAGTGCGACGACTGTTTGTTTGATAACACCAGATATTTTGTCTTGCCCTCGTTTACTATCCGGTCTAGAAAGAGCGGAATTAAGAAGGCTGGAATCATGTGCAGAAAGTCACATAAGTGAGGAAAATTCTCTGAGCACTATTCACTTCGGAGTACAAAGAAACGATTATTTTACATAGGTCTCAAGCAGTTCACGACTTCCGATCTTAAACCAAGACGGGCTAAACTGAAAACGCGAAACATCCTCGTTGTGGGCTGGGTTTGATACCCACCATGCGAAAAACTCCCCAATGAAAAGAAGAAAACAGCCTCGGATGACAGATTACTAATATTTAGCCTATATTTTTAGACTTTATTGAGTGGGGTTGGAACTCGCAAACATAGTAATAGTCAAAACCTCAATCCGCACTACGTAATACAAGTTTTCAATATTATAATTCCAGACCAAAATAAAAATAGCTCACTCTTATCACTAACTAAAAGCAAAACAATTGCAAACTGTCATTTAGTTTGTATTCAATTAATAAAAGCACATTAAACGACGGCAAAGTAAGAAGGAAGACAACACAATTGGCCACATATCTCCGATAATATTTCAATGAACGAATGTGAGAACTTTTGTAATCTGCGTGCAGCAGATTGACTGGCTCCGAAAGGTAGCAGATGGAAAGCTGAGGCTTCAGTTGTGGCCAAACGGAATCCCCCGGCAAACGTAGCTTACATTTCGCTGAAATGTGAAATTCCTACGCTAAATAAAATCCACAACTCGATATATATACATACATATATGAGAATGCCGCTCCTTTAGGAATCGATGTGTACAAAAACTGTGCACATATTTGCACAAGTCTCTGTATACGCACGCGGCCAGCCTTGCACTTTGAGAATTGCGCTTTTTGCTCGCATTGAGCAGACCCGCCGAAAAGTGTGTCAATGACTGGTGGCGGCAGCACGTTCAAATTTTTCAAAAACTTTAACAAAAGTAAAATTTCCACTGAATGACTGTTGAAAGAAAAACCATAGCTATGCCGATTTTCATGTATGTATGTATGTATAAATACATGTACATACGGATGGGGGAACGTATATATTTTTTCAAAGGCAAATCAACTTTCAGGCATGGTAGGTGCTTGGCATGTTTTCCTTCCTTTTATTTGTTACTACCAACCCTTGATACTTGCAACAACCGTGGATCCATCAGCTGATATGGTTAACTTTGTTCGAGTGATTGTGAAAAGAATTACGCAAAAGCGATTGTTCGGATAGTGTAAGCCCTTGACCATACATGTTTTCAAAAGAGTTCGAGAAGAAAAGTTTATTTTTCGTTGATGAAAGTATTTTAAATATCGGAAGCTTCTTTAAGCAGTAAAATCTTATTAAAATAGTGAAAACTTCTTCAAAATGTGAAAGCTCTTTAGACAACGAAAGCTTCTGAAAATGTTTAAACAGCGGATGCTTCTTTAACACAAACACTGAAAGCTCATTAACACTGTCAAACTTTGAACAGTGAAAGCTCTTTTAAGCAACTAAAGCTATGTTTAGCAACGAAAGATACTTCGAACAGTGAAAGTTCTTTTATATAACTAAAGCTTTAAAAGTTTTTAAACAACGGCGGCTACTTTAAATAGTTAAAGCTCTTAAAAATAGTGAAAGCTGCTTCGAAACGTGAAAGCTCCTTAAGGTAACTAAGGCTTCTGAAAGTTATTAAACAGCGGAACCTTCTTTGTCATAAACAGCAAAAGCTCGTTAACACAGTCAAATCTCTTTTTTACAGTGAAAGTTCTTTTAAGCAATAAAAGCTTTTCTTAACAACGAAAGTTACTTTGAACAAAGAAAATTCTTTCAACAGTGATAGATTCTTTAAACATTGATGGATTGAAGATTCTCTAAAAATTGAAAGCTTTCTTAATAGCGAAATCTCTGTCTCACACAAAAGTTTTCTTGATAAATCTTCTTGCTTAGTAAGCTTTCACTCTTAAAAATTAATTATTGAATTAATAAGTAGCTGTTTTTGTTTAAGATTGACAATAAAAGAGGAGTATTATCGATAAATCCAAAAGTTAATTTTAAAATTTAATAGGTATAAGTGAAAGGAGAGGATGACAAAAACTTATGGGCATGACATAAATCAATAAATTTTAAGTGTAGCCGCTCTCCTATCTAACAAAGAAATGGTAAATGTTGGAGAACCTTAAAAATACATAGGGATCTTTTCTTTCTAACAAATCTCTATGGTTTAAGATATATGCGAAAATAGTAACAGGGAACAAGTTGAACATTACTGATTTGATACCCTATAATACTTTACAAAAAGTAAAACACCTTTTTTTAGTGGCATTTGTTTCCTATTCGGGTTCTATTTCTGCCGGTGAACCATAGGCATAGACATTCTTTGAGAATTTACAGGCCGCTCGAACACATTTTGTAGTTGATTATTGCCAAAGGGATGTGTTATAGGTGAACTTAAATTGTGCAAAACTTAATTTTGAACTAACTGCCATTGAAACCCGATATTTTGACGGAACCTAGAGGATGGGTTTACTTCCATTTTCTAAGCCTGGTGGCATTTTAAGAAACGACTCCCTTGTTCTCTAGTTAAATAAATGTTTTATCCTATCCTATATTGATTGCTTTTGATAAGATCGGTTTCAAGATTATCTCAGATTTTTCTCCTCTAACGGCCTTGCATAGAGGGCCGCCAATACATGCCTATCGCGATTTGATTCGATTTCAGAGAACATCTGTAAATTTGCTCCTTAATCCTGAGACAAATACGCGCAAGGCATCGGTCTTGTGCCTGCCGTTCATGTACCAAGCTTCCAGATAAATTCGTATTATTATGCTCTTAGAGTAGGATTTCGTTTTCAATCTTAATAGATTTAAAGTTACTGCTAGGGTCTATCAAGCTTAACCTGTTCTCGCTTTGATTTAATTTAAAATGTGACCCAAATTACATAATATTCCAAAGGGACCGCCGAATTTTTCGTGTGAAGGACATTTGGAAAACTATTTACTCTTACTTAATAATTACAGCTTAGTGAATGCATGGTCAGATAAAGACCGGATAGTTTGGAATATTCACGATTTAATACTAATAAATACTTAGTCCAGCTAAAAAAGTGTTCTGAAACAGATTCATCAGTTACCAACGATTATTTATAAGACTTTTTATATGGTAAGCAGCAAAATATTTTGAACCCTAAATGTTTCGGTATAATTATAATACATAAAAGTTGGTACGAGTATATTGAAAACATGTAAGCAATCATAAGTGTTCCCATCACCATTGTAACTCCTTTCCACTAAAATCTCCTCCGATAATGTGCGAAATTTTAGCTCGTTTTCTGCGTTAGCAAATATTATTTAGCTCCTGGCAGAATTTGTAACAGTAAACTGATTGAATTATCCAAATGCAGTCGCGAATTACACGCAGCACCTATACAACACTGTTGTTTCTCACATGCCAGCTTTAAAATTCATGTACCCGCCGCGTAACCGCTAAGCTCATAGTAATTCATTCGTAATTTGCTCAGCATGCATTTTCAGCGTGCTCATCTCCAATCTGGCGTAAGTTGGATGCAACATAGCCAAACAAAACGGTTCAGCTAACATGGCATTTTCTTCATTAGCATATAAACTTCAGTGTAAATTATGTGCTTGATGCTGTACGCGCGCAGCTGAGTGCAGGTGTACTGCTGCTGCTGTGAAGTGCCTCTAGCGAGTGGAAGTGCACTTTGGCCACCTGAATTGAGTGGAAGGGAAGTGGAGGCAAGAGCGCTGAAATGCTACTCAGTGCAGTAAAAGCGAATGTCAATTATTTGCACGTTAATGTGTTAATTTTGTCTGGGAAATTTTCGTTGAAAATGTGAACTTCAGTAATTACTTATACGAGAGCTGAGAGGAATGCGTTGGAAGTTTATGTAAGCGAATTGGAGCAGTAGGTATGCAGGGATTATTAGTAACTTTCGCTATATTTCGGTTTATGTTAACATATTGCAAGTATTGATAATGTAATGAATATGTTTCTTTTACGAATTTATAAATTTGTATTAGGGTGGGAATGTGAAAAAATGTGTGGTGTCTTTGTTATTTTGGTACTCTAAAATATTCTTAGACATCAATTAAAAAAATGCTAAATCTCATTTCGAACTTCTTCAAAAATTTGATCTTTTTTATCACACGTTTATAAAAAATATAAATAGGATTAAACTAGTTAGTAATATAAATTGTAAATATTTCCTGTAGTATATTACTAACCTTTATTTATTTTCCTGGGGGTGTTTAGGGGCATAAGCGTCTGGAAATAAAAAAATAAAAACAAATTTCTTAGATTTGAAATAAGAAAATATATTGAGTAGTATAACTTATTTTGAAATTCGTATCTTTATGTATTTAATATTGTTATAATAAAATAAAATGCTTGCCTAATAAAAATTTTATTTTCAATTCTATATTTTTACTATCAAAGTATATTCTAGAAGCAGAAGCCTTTAAAAAAATAAAAAAAATAAAGAAATAAAGAAATTCATAATCAAATAAAACCCAGCGAAAACGAAAGATCAAATAACAAACATTAAAGGAAAAATAATTTAGGGACGATCCGAGGCCGCTACACACAAGGGGAGAGGTGTGGTTGCGCTTTATCTCAATTTCCCGCAAAGCTACAAATCCTATTGGAAAAATGTATATGCCAATGTTGTAGGCAATGAAAAGATTTATAACTTCTATATGTACACATATTTCACATAACCTCAAATTTTCCGTGAAAAATTCAAATCATCCAGTTTTTTTTTTTTAATTTTATCTCACACAACATTTTTCTCTTTCACGAAATTTGGTCAAAGCTTACTTCCTCGTAGTGTATCTAAAACCAACAATCGAGGAACTAGTTCGCGTATATACAGCCAGACTATTTGCTCATCTGTCTGTATATGATGTGGCTAAACTGACTCGGCTCGACACGCTGATAATTTAGATATATATTTTGTAGGGTCTCCAACATCGTGGCAACCTTAATATACCCTGGTATAAAAACACAAGTTGAAGCTGAATGCGCGACGTGAATAATGAGCACGGGGCCGGGTTTGAGGCTCGATACCTCGTAAACCAATAATCTTTCGATAAAATCCTTTACAGAGCATGTTTCTAGTAGGGCCTAAGAAATGTAATAATGTAGACAACCTCTTCAAAACTTGTTTGAAACTCAAGTATAAGGATCTAATACTCAGAAGATATAAACAGATTTAATTTGGGGTTATCGTCAGATACTAGATTGATGAACCCGAACGCAATAGAGGTTGGTATCTGTACTATGCAATTTTTGAAGGAATAAACCTTCAATGATGGAAACCATAGACCCAAAAGGACGGAAAGAAAAAATTCAAGTAAGCTTAATCGTATACCATAAATATAGTTTTGAGCCAAACCTAAACAACCGCACATCCGGTAGATTATCATTATCATTATCTTTCTGCTCCTGTAATCTCCACGCATAATACTGTTCTGAAAGATAATGTTCCGATTATGATGCTACCATGAATGTACTTATTTAGGGAAAAAAATCTGTTCGATTAGTTAATTTCAATATTAAAAAAATCGCGAAAATTAGTCCTCCTAATGATAGGAGGATGGAGTCATGTGTAGAAGTTCACGCAAGTGAGGAAAGTTTTCTGATCGCCATTCAC